GGTGCCTGGGAGAGAGGGAGGGCCCCGCCACGCCGCGGGAGCTCTCCCCGCGCTTCCCTTCCCGCCGCGTGAAGGCGAGACCCCGCTCCGTGGAGCCCCGCGCGCAGAGCTGCGGTCTGTTAGGTACGTGACTGACTTCTCGGGGGGGCTGAGGGGACGGGAGGGAAGGCCACTCGCTCTTCCAGCCACAGGATAAGCAGATTTAAACCTTCGGGACAGCAGACAGACACCATCCTATTACTCTGCCCCCTCATCCCAGACAGGGCCTTTCCCTCCTTCCCTTACCGGTGCCACCGCCGGGTTGCCAGAGGTCAGCAACCCTCCGGTGCCAGAGCACTGAAAGGTGTCCTCAAGGGGCTGCCTTGGTCTCCAACAGAAGGAGATTTTATTCCTGCTCCCTCCTTCACCTTTTCTCCCACACCCTCCCCTCTCTGCACCTTTATTCTCCTTCGAAGCAAGCTCCTCAGGCGAGCATCATCCTGTCCTTCCCCCTCCCTCCCTGGCAGCATAAGGATTTCAGCAGAAACCAAAAACTGCCTGGCTGAACAGGTTAAGTAACACTCTACTTGAATAGCAGCACCTGACTTCAACTGATTGTTAGGAAGGATGTCAAGACTACTTCCAGTAAACTACAGAAATACTGTGCTCCTTACTAGAGTCAAATTCAACATTAAGAACTAATATTGTTCAGATAATAGTGAAAATAATCAGTACTCTACCCTTAATCTCGAGTAAACGCGACCTTTCAAGAGTAAGGTGATGCTGCCTGAGAACAAAACCAACACCAAAACCACCACAACATGCACACCTGAGGCAGAATTTCAGAACGCAGCCTAAGGCCCACCCACTCACATCTTCACTTTTATGCCTTTAAAGTCGAGTTACTAACTGAGTGACCTGCTTGGAGTCAGCTTTTATTTGTGAGGAAAAGTTAAGGCCAACTGAAATTTTTCAAGCCTCACATGGGAAGGTGGTGGTTAAATTTTTTTCCAAAATACTAGGAGGATAACGTGGCTTTTTAGATTTGCTTAACCATATAAGCCTTCACAGACTTTCGTTGAAGTACCTTACCCTCCAACAGAAACAATAGTGTTAGTTTGACCTTTTTTCATTTTATTAGCACAAAATCATGTAGAGAGCGAAGACATAGAGGAACATACACATGTACTTAGAACATGGAAAACTCATTGCACAAACGGGAATGATTTCTTCCTTCCTGCGATCTTGCCATTGCTTCTCCTCTCACCCTGACTACTAGAACAGTGATGGAGCTGACAAGCCGTATATCCGACCTTACAAGCTCACAGCACTTCCTTAAAAAATACCCCCAAACAGTTCCATTACTGAAAGGGGCTCAGCCTGGGTTCAGAACTACAACTGCTATTAAGAGAACTGAACTAGAGCACTTGAATTCCCAATTCTGCTGGCTGGGGTAACTTTTGGAGCAGATCCTTTATGTATTTAGCATCGTACAACACCTTTAAAACGAAGGAAGAACATTGACACGGCATGTGCATACACCCCAGTGTTAATGCATGTATGTTCGTGTGTACACGGTTCAGTGACAACCCAGTCTACAAGCAGAGGAGCAATTCCGTGGTTATTTCTGACCACACAAAGAGATCGGTGTCAGAGATCGCTTACGGTCTCAGACCCGCTTGCAGAAACCTTCATAGTGGCACTTGTAAAGTCAGTTGGTCCAGTGGCTTCGCAACGCCTATACACGCACAGGGACAGGTAAAAAGAGGCAAGGTCTTGACGGGCCACTAGCTGAGCTTACTGCATAGCAAGGCTGATGTACAGTACAACATCCGCAGTAATAACACCAATAAATTAGATTAAAACAATTCAGATATACTTTCCTGTAGTATGAAAGCCGGCATTCACAAATTCAGAAAAAAACCCACACTTTTCAGATTGCATGGCGACAAACAAGGTGTTTGCCACAGTACAGAATCGATGCGCACTCCATGTCCTGTATTATTAGTAGGTTGTGGCACACTGATAGTTTAATTGCCATGGAAGGACAACACCCTCATTTTCCTAGGAATTGTCTTGATTAGCCATCAGAGGGTAGAGAGCGTTCCACCATCCAAAGTCCGTAACTTTGTCATTTCTTTGTTTGGGAACAGCTGAAAGTGGTTGCTTTGCTCCAACGGATGGCAGACAGTTCGGTTTAGTTAGCCACGCAGGTTTGTGAACAGGATTAATCACACCGATTTACGACATCTGTGTTTTTGCAAAAGAGACCAGGTAGTTTATTGCTGGCTTCAATACTTCCCTTCCATCAAAGGGGGCATACCAAGAAGCGTGGTCTGAAAGCAGAGTATCACGATGTGTTAAAATGAAGCTCCAGGTCAGCTCTCCAAACACAGAATCACTAGGACAGAGCTCTACTTTGCACCCACTTAACAAGCAGAGAATTCACGAGAATACTCTGAGCACACTGGTGTGAGCAAGAACGACTTTACGGAATGATCTGTGAGACCAGCCTCACCAAACAAAAAGCCTGAGTTTCACAAGCCTAAATCATAACACTGCGGTTTTTTGGGTTTTTTTCAGGACAAAAGGGTAAACTTAAGCAAAAGTGGATATTTACAGATTATTAATTAAAAAAAAGTTGAGCAAGTGACTATTCAGTGTTTCACGCAAAACTCAACTCATTCAGTTGTACGTTTGGACCGGGCAATCAGTCGGAGACAGACTGTTAAAACATGACTCCCAGCTGAAAAACCTCTGCACCTGCAATAAAGCTGGTTTCAAACCAGCATTTTTAACTCCACTGGCCTCAACACATTTTTACAGTAGTTTCAGTTGTCCGACATGAGTTACAAGCTGCTGTTGTTCCACGGTTAGTGCCACTCTTCTCCTGTGAAGCATACTTCAGGCTTTCAGACTACTCTTCTCTCGTTCCACAAAACTTTGGAGTGAAGAGCTGACAAGTCTATCCAACGTCTCTAGTTTTCCTCTAGACTGCATTCCGAGGCGTGCCGTTGTGAGTCACTGCTTTCATATTTGAGGAGCTTGATTGATGGTTGCAGATCCTGTGGGAGGCAACACCTACTTCAAAGACTTCGTGAATGGCTTTGCGGAAGCAATGGAAATTGTAGTCTATCAGACCTGTCAGGGAGGAGGAGGAGGGGAGAGGAAAAACTGTGCTCAGCGTGGCACATTTATGTAATCAACAAAGCTTCACAATAAATATAAAACGTTTCATTTCACCAACAGCTATCTTGCTACTTATTTTACTATAAATTTGGATTCGGAAAATTTAGCAAAGTTTTACTGATGGACTGTCTCAGTTTTTAGGAAAAAAAGGGCACTCTTTCAGAACATGCAAGGTGTATATTCATAATTAAACAACAAGTGAGGGGACAACACAAGCCTCTACCCCAAAAAACCATGCTAGTACAGCACGCCAATCACTTGAAGGTTATCTCGCACTTTCTCTCACTGAGATATATCCTAACGGTGGTGAGTAAATGAGATCAAATACAGCACAGTTATTAAAAGAACACCTCCACTTTTTCTCTTTTTAAAATGCCAAGGTAAATACTGTCACCATTTAAGTCAACTACTTTGAAATCAGGGCCTACGCTGTCATTACTACCCTGTACCGTCGTCTCCTCCAGGTCCAAGCAACTATATAGCTGGTTCGACCTGCAGTGTATTAGATACCTCGTTCTAAGTTTCTCCCACATCCTGTACTGCTGTGGATTTCTTCAGTCATGCGTTAAAGCCATGACATCAGTGTGACACGTGAGAGAGAGTACGGCTATTCCCAGCACAGCAGCCGTTAAGCCGAACGTAATAAGCATTGCTCCCTCTTGATTCCACTATAGCAGACGGTAGTGACACCGGCCACGTTAGCTACACAAGTAGTTTCGGCAGGACAGCAGTTAAAGTGGGAATTGCCAAGAATAAAAATAAGACCTCTTTACACCCATCTCTAGGAAAGAAGAAAATTCCTCCCAGAAGAAATTAAACAAGTTCAGCTACACAAAAAATCAAGGTGACTTGTAAAGTCATATTCATATTTTACAATAGATAAAAAGCACTAATAAAAGCCATTCATCGCGGCAGGGGGGGTCCTTACCTTTGCGCTCAAAACTCTCTTCTCTAAGAATGCAAACTAATGCCAAAAACTTTGTTACTTCCTTTAAGTACAGGACTGTTGTGTTATTGAGCTTGATAATTGCCATTGACTCTTTATCATAAGCACTTCCAGTACCATCTTCCTTTAACCTAAGAAAGAACGAGTTAACCCATGACGTAATCCAAATCTAGTAGGCATGCATGCGTAACTTCGAGACAAATACCTGTTAAATGCAGCTAGAATATTGCTCACACTCAGCACGAAGCGAGTGCAGAACCTGCAACGCAGGTCTTAATACTGTCCTAAGTAAGACCATTAGCACATCTTAAGTTTCTCAGGAAAGCTAGACCTAAACAGAGTAGAGGCCTTCAGTAGCTGCCATCCTGGATGAGCAGTCAAGAGCAAGTTAGCAGCACGCATTCTTCTGAGATCAAGCTAAGAGCTGTGGCTCTTCAGTCGATACTTAATTTGGCTGACAGCCGAGCATTCTTAACGGAGGTAGTATGGTACATGAGTTACAGTGCAGTTTACCTTCAAACCACAGACACCGCCACTCACGGTCTCACTGGATTTACAGTGCCGCAGTAAGGCGACTGGTTTGAAGATTTTAATGCAGGACTTCAACGTAGAAACGTCAGTGAAGTGATGTCTCGGCCAAATTCCTTTTGGTAAATATGAGGACTTCCTTAGTGAGGCCAGGGCGGGCATGGGGGAAGGGGTGCAGCAGGGAGCAGGACACTTTTTGGTCTGAAGCTAAACCAGCCTCCATTTACAAGAAAAGATGGGGATGCTGCTTTCTATCTGCAAGTTAGCGTCAGTTAAATTACTTTAGAAGCACAAAGATGTATCACAAGCTGCATCTACGCACTCGCTCCTGAAGAAAAAACCCAAAAAATCCCAGTTACATAACCCTGGGTTGACCCACCAGGCAACAGACCATTACACGCTGTGGTTTTCTGGTGGCACTCTATTTTCCAGGCTACAACCACAGCTCTAAACTACGTTACCACTTCTCCAGAGCCACTTCAAAAATCCATTGTGAAGTAGAATTCCACCATAAATTGAGAGAAACAAGCGCCATCTGCATCCCTCTGACAAAGTCAGCCGGAGCCGAGCTGACCCCGCAAAAGCAATTCTGTTCAGACAGCGGCAAGTCGCAAAGCACTGCAAGTTACACGCACGAGCCATGGCATGCTGTCGACCCCAGCTATCCGCAGCTATTAACATACTTGCACCCACCATGCCAAGCCGGACACAGCAGTATTCCTAAGTTAGCCAAACACCTGACTGTTACAAATGCCAGACAGCCAAGGCCACGAGGGGAGGGAAACAGAGTACAAACGCTCGATCCAGCTGCCAAATCATCTGCCTCCATTCTAGTTAGTTACAGAACCAATGTGCTCTACAGACCCATCGACGGCTCCTTGCTGGATGACAGAGCCAGCGCCACTCGCACAGACTGCAACCTATTCTACAACTTGCAAGGACTTTTATCCTGTGAGCATGCATCACTTACCCATATATACAGGAAACATCTATCACTACATCAATCATGTCACAGCACAACTCGTATGACTGCATGTCCACAGGGGAACTGTCTGTCGCGATGTAGATTTTGCTGACTACATCGAAGAGAAAAGCTTTTTCAATGCCTGAATTCTTCAGAAAGAGAAAGAATTTGGATGAATTATTAAAATGCATTTTTGAAGTCTCAGGTAAAATACATATACTTTCACATTCTTAATAGCAGGAAATGGTTTAAACATAACCAGTTTCGAGGCTTAAGACATAATCAAGACGTAGAGCATACATGTATAAATACAACACCCTTGTTGCTATAGTACATATCAACATCCCCTTCTAGCTGACAAAAACAGATCTGGGGACTCCGTTAGAATTTTTTTTTAGTTTATTATTTACCAGATCATAATTAAGGTTATATTTTACTATACTTCCAGAACCCAAATTCAGCAGTTTTCCTATTCTGTGGTTCTATTAGCTCCAGAACAGCCACATACTCACATCCACCTGATGGACCAGGCTCAGGGACAGGTTACTTCGTAAGAGCATGCTGACACTTAAATTTTATGCTCGTAGTATCCTGGCGGTTCAGTTTCTATGTGAGGCTGTTGCCGTGAGGTTTAAGATGTCAGCTTCTAAGCTTACGACTCCATGAAGAGTATCCCATTACGGCAGTTACAGGTAAGGAAAAGCCCCAGGCCCACTGTAGCATCCCGCCTGTAAGCGAGCGCTTTGGCAAAGTGCACGTGCTCACGCTAGGTTCAGAAGCCTTCAGCCGTTAAGTTACCACATACACACTACGGATTTCTGGCAAAGCTTAATTTCTATTTGTGCACCAGAAGCATTCCTTATCGCTTCTCCCCAGCTAGTCTGAATACCCAAGTGAGTACCCTCAGGACATCCAAACGATCCGTCTGGTGTCAGGGCCGCGCTCCATACCCTCATGGCACTGAGCAAGGTGAGCGCTAAAAAGCAGCACTTCATCTACTGGGCCAGGTTATTACACACAGTCCTCTACCAACACAGAGAACCAGCATTATATAGTAGCACAGGGCAACACATCTGACCCACACAGCTCTTTTCAATCCCAACTGTTTTTTTTCCACATTGTCCCCAAGCCTGCAACAGTCTTGTGGCCATAACTGAAACGAGACAGGTTACTTCAGTCCTGTCTCCAGGGTGACACTTTCTTTGATTTGAAGTATATAGCAGCAAGTTTCTATGTCACAAATTCTGTAAGAAACACAAACACTAAAAGAATAAGGGCAAAAGTCTCACAGGCCACATGAAATAGAGAGGCCAAGAGTTCAACAGAGTTCAAGGCCAAGTTCATATTATGAAAAAAGTCTCTTGCTGATAACAGCTACATTAGACTACTAAGTGCCTCAGCAGACTCATCAGTATATCCTGCCAGCAGAAAACTTCCATATGAACAGTTATAACTAGCCAAACTATGCTCTGTCAATATTTAGAGAAACCTGCACACACCGGTACAATTTAGCAGTGGTAACAAGCTTCTGATGCAGACAACTGGGCCAGCAGAGTACACCAACGTGAGTGCCACCCAAATCTCCCAAGGGCAGATGTAGCCAGTGTTCCTTAGCAGAAGGACTTGCTCTACCACATATTTCACTCAAATTTCTGCTAGATTAACACTTACTGATATAAAGATATTTAGTAGATTTTCCAGCGTTGGCAGTTGTGGAATGAGCTTCTGTACCACTTTACTGAAGGCTTCAAATATTGAATGGTCATAGATACTGGTCAAATAAAAGCTGAGATGAGGAGGGAGGGAAAAGGAAGAAAAAAAAAAAACAAAGATTCAAGAGTATTTCAGAATTGCTCTAGAAATGTTAAAGCTACGTTTTCTAATATTCAGGCCTGATGATTTAGCTGGGATGCCTTTACCACAAATATGCCCAGCCACTACACCAAAAACCTAATTTCTGAGCAACTGGTGTAAACATGAAACAGATTTCCCCTGTCCCCGGGAGATGGGAGAACAGAAATAAAAATCTCAACATGCTTTCACAACACTCTTAGCCTACAGCATGCTTATCGCAAAGGTGTTAGGTTAAGCACTTGACTAGATTTCTTCAAGTCCTGTTCCTGGCCTTGCGCTTTGTTTACGCTAACACCGAGAGATACTGGCAGTATGTAAAGGTTCCACGAGAACCAAAACAGCGGTAACATCAGAGCAAAGAGAGCTTGTTTTAAAGGTGTCAGTAGAAGACACCTTAAAAGCCTGCCAAATATCATGTAAGAGACTTAAGCTTTTAAAACCAATCCGGCTGAAAAGTCAGTGCTAGCCAGGACTAGAAGGCAAGCACCTTCCCTTCCCCTGCCCCTCAGGCCACATGTACAAATTCAGCCTGTTATGCTGAACGAAAAGTATGCAAAAGGACATTGAATTATCAGAAAATTTATGAATAAATCTGTTGCCTGGAATCTGATACAGCAGCCTGCCTTATTTTAGTCAGCCTAACAGCTGAGACTTGGCCACAAATTCACCAGTGTATTTTATGACAAGAGTTTGTGTGATACTAAGAAACTACCAAGCCCTTGCTCCAGTCTGTCCACACCTAAAAGCTGTTAGTCTGCGTGCCTATCCCTAACAGCACACTCTCACACATGCCAGAAGTTTTAACTCACCTAAGGTGAAGTTTTTCAAGCCCAGCATCCGTAAGGTCATCGTTAGCCCTCTGATGAATATCCCTCTGAGTTTCTATTTTATGGTCATCCGATAAACCATCAACTTTATGAATAAAAACTTCAAAGTTCATTTCCGGGTTGACCTTGTAGGCTTTTGAAACTGTAATGTGGAGTCTTGTTAAAGCTTCCATGTAGTCATCCTGTAAATCAGTTTTGGCAGGAATGAGTGACAAGGATTTATCTCCGATAACTGCACAAGGACAAAATATTTCGGTGTGAGAACTTCACTTCTGTAACTAAACTGAAGTATGGGAGAAGAGAGTACCCTGGAGTGTCAGAAACCCAAGCAGCTTAGATTCTGTTATGTAAATTAAGTTGCATTAGCTATACAAGGCTCAGCTACACAAAACTAGGCTTCAGAGCAAAGGGCAGGTTACACTTCGACTCCAGCAAAGGCAGCAGCGACCTCCAAGACAGTCCTAATAACCAGGTCATCTTCCTCGGTGCAACTGCGAAGTTCACTAAAAGCTACCAGATACCAAATAGTACCAGTACTTAAGAGTGAGGTCAGAGGCGTGCGGTTATTAAATGAGCTTCATAGCAGTCAACCGCAGAGGGAAGGGATAATTCAGTCCATCTAGCACAGCAGGTTCTCCCTGTTGTCATAGAAAAGGTAATTTCAGAGTACTCACCCCTTTCCACTCTCTCCACTGGGAACTTGTGGTTCAGGTCCCTTCACAAAACTAAAACCCACACACCAACAGATAGCCAACGCATCCTTTCATACGTAACAGAGGTTTTATGAGTTTATCCAGAAATACAAATTACCAGCTTCTCAATCATTCCTCTCGCACACAAAGCAAAAACAAAACCTCCTTGTGAGTGAGTGATTTGCATTTACCTGGGCATCAATAACATATATTAGAGCACCTGTTCCTCTGAAGATCATCTCATAATCAAATGTTGGATCAAAAAAGTCCATCTGTCCAGGAAAATCCCATATTTGGAAATTCACAAATGAACTGTTAGAAATATCGTCTTTGTAGATCTTGTTGGTACTTTCCAAGAACAGAGTCTCATTGGGAGACATTTTGTGAAACACGACCTGTTAAAAGAACACAAATAATAGTCTGGACTTGATCTTGTTAGAAGAGATTGGTAAGAGTTCCGTGACTTGAATCTCACAAATAGGCTTGTCCATTCTGAAGCGTATCGCTTCCTTTCGGTAAACAGCTTTCTGCCTCAGCCCAGGAAAACCCTCGGCTGGAACTGAACAACTGAATACAGTTAGACATTTCCACAGGTCTAAGTAACACTCCTGCCTGAAGACACCGACATTCCAGTTACTCTTTCTGCCTTGCAGGTCTAACGCCGTATTTTCAAATTCTGCTGCATTAGCCAATTCACCGCTGGTGTAAAGCCATTATGTTAATTACGCATCTGCAAGCTTTTAAGAACTGTTCCTTTCCAGTCTTAGAAACTCCTAAAGGAAACTTTGCTTTTAATCCAGTGTCAAGTGTTACAACACAATATAACCTGACTCTTCCTAAACTACAGTGAAAGTGTACAAAAATAACATCTCAGGAGACCCAAAAGCTAGGTAGTTTGCCATCTATCAACAACTGAATTAATTACATTTGCTGACTCCCTCCTTTCAAGTACCCTAAGGAAATGCTGGAAGTTTTCACACTGGTTGGTAAACAGTTTAGCTGCGCTGAGGGATAACATGCTCACTGCTAGTACTCAAAAAGCCCTTCCCTGGGCAAACAGAACTAGCACACAGCCCTACAGCAAAGCAGCCTGTAGCCAAAGCAGTTGCAACAGCAAACACTGTGCTAAAGCAACTCAACCGTCTATTACAAAAGTTACTACAAAGGGCAGGTGGTGGAACGCTGGGGATGCAAAAGGGAAGATGTTTCCTATCTAGCATTTTGTAATATATTTTTTAACATTTCACACAGTTACCAGAGTCATCTATTAAACAGACCTAGCGCAACAATCTGTCAAAAAAACTGCAGGACAGGTAACTCCACACCCTGCATCGTTAACAGGTTATTCAGTGAGGTTCAAAGTAGCATGTCTGCCCAGAATTTTAAGACCAAGAGAAAAAAAAAATCCTTTCCTCAAGGCAAATATTTGAGGAAGACAGGACCTAAACAAGTTTTTAAACAGGCCATTTATATGGAAAAGTAAGAACCGTTCTAGATACTCAGCAACTGTACTGCAAGGACTCGAAATCCCTCGGTCTGCAGCACCATTTTAAAGCATTCCAAAATCATGTTTCTCCTTTGGATCTCAGCATCTCCCAGAGGGAGCAGGACAGAATCAGTGAGTCCGGTTTAAAGCAGCTGAGCCTCAGAAGCAATGCCATCATCCCCCTTTCCCCTCCTTCCCAAAGCAGCGCGTTTCATCGGACTGATGCTCCCCATCTGTTTTTAACACCAGAAGGGGAACCAGGATCAAACACCATTTCTGTCATCTGCCCCCACTCTTCCTCGCTTTACACAGCTTCGATAAAGCAAATAAAAAGGCTGTGGGAGCATCTGATAGGAGGCACACAGCAATTTTGCCTAGGTATATGGAGGCAGGGCAGACAAAGCTAGTAAAATGCTGAGAATCTGCTGAGTTTCTTCACTCTGGGTTTTGTCACTCACAAGTGTTCCTTTTACACCTTCAACATCCAACACTCCCATCGACTTCATGCTTTTACCATATTTTAAGAACTTTTCACTGTCACGACGCAGTACAGCCTTTCAGGTTATTTTTTTTTTAATCCCTCTGAATTTCCTATTGACACCTGACCTGCCGTGATCTCGAGTTTTCAGGATGTTTTATTCCCTGACACGTCAACTGTTTCTTTCCAGCAGCACTCGGGTTTCGTTTGAAGTGCAGCAGTTAAGCTGCACTCCTGATGCTGTATTTCTGAACTGCCTCTGTGGTTTTGGACTGCCCTTGGGTTTGAGATTTTTTTAACTCACAATTTCTGTCTCAGTTTTCAAGCAGTCACCCTTCCTTGGATCCACAAGCTGAATTTATCTGGCTTGTTCATTCCCACTACCTTAAACTTTGAATGACTCCCCAGAGAAGCACGTGTGCATTGGCTTGTTGGTTGCTTTAACAAATCAGAGAACTGCCATATTTGGAATTTCACTTTGGGCTGAAACGTTGGCCTGATCCATACAAACGAAGATTTCCCAGACCACCAAAGAATGATCCTGCACATCAAGTGACAAGCATGACTTCCACAACATCCCTTCAAGAGCTTATGATCAAATATAACCTGCCACTGCAAGACACCTGATCAGGTACATTGCAGCGACACCTATAAACTGCAAGAGTATCTCACACAGGAATTGCAAGGGTACATTGCAGCAACACCTATAAACTGCAGGAAGAGTATCTCACACAGGAATTGCAAGTTGCTGAGAAAGTAACAAGTCTAGGATAGTTTCCCTTTTTTTTTGACACTTTGTCTGCAAACATGAATAACTGGTTTATATCTAAGAAATCTATATCCTTTTCCTTAGAAGGGAAACAACAACCAGTGCCAGAATTTAAGAATCTTCACAGTGCAAGTAACCCCAAGGGAAGAACCCTTCACTGTGAGTTGCCCCAGGCCACCAGGAACACGCCTCAGTGAAGGCTGTACAGGTGACACAAGCAATCTACCTTTCATAAGCCACCAGTTCTGCACTGCAGCATGGAATCATTCTGCACATCACAATCGGCACCATTACCTATAAGTCCAAATGCAGAATAGGTTTTCAACCTCCTTCATTTTTCCCTAGTAAACCCCTTTTATTCTTGAGGTAATATTAGACTATTTCTACTGCATGATGTCCAGAAAGGAATTTGCACAGGCAGCTGAAAGGACGTCTCTGGAAAGAGAGAGAAAAAGGTTTGGTATCGCAAGACTGTTGAGAATCTGCTAACTGGAAGCAAACAGCTGCTTCACAGGTAATAATGAAAAGCAACTTCCAAAGGAATCCCTAACAGCAGTAAGACAAACAGCTATTTGGTCATTTTCATGCTATTTCCAGAATTTTTGCTTTAATTTTGTCAATTTGTTAAGCTGCTATAATGAATGAGATGGTCTCAGAGTAGCAGCTGTCACACCTATAAAGTGACTGTGAAGCATTAAAATCTACCTGCAATTTGGAGTTACAGCTTCCCTCTAGTTTTCAGGGTTCTCTTTTCAACTGTGGATAATACAACACGATCTGCAATGAGTCTACAATGAGCACCGTTCATGTGACTTAAGACTTGGAAAAAGACTCTCAGTGCAATCACTGCATTTGCACAAACAGTGGGGGCATTCAGCCAGAATAACGGGGAGTAACTGGAAAGACTGAAAAAGCAATGACAGCCCAGTCTGCCACTGTGTTTCAGGAAAAGTCGTCTCACTAACAGATGCAATACCTTCTGCAAACCTTGTCTAACAAAAGGCAAGACTTCAGCCTACAGTTCAGAACCCACTGGTCTAGTGCTGTCTGGGGATTACCAAGTAGTACGCGTAAGATGACTAAAGGCAGATTCATACCTGCTATACTGCAACGTCCAAAAAGGGCTTCCCTGCATAAAACCTTTACAGAAATCGCTGAAGGATTCCACACCTGCATCTGAAGAAAGTTTAAGGTCCCTAAGTCTAGAACCTGAGAACCACCGCATTTCCCTAGTAACACCTTCCCATACGAGTGTCACCTCAAAACTTCCTAACAGGGACTGCAAATACAAAACTTGCGCTGAGGAACAAGGCTCATTCTTGGTGCTACGCTTCTCTCAAGCTATGTGGCAAATGAAAATAGTTTTGTCTTCTTTTTATTAAGAGACACTAGCGACTTGACAAAGCTACCAACAAACCTAAAGTGCTGCTGTTTATTTCCTCCTTGACCAGCGACTATCCTTTGTTCAGTGCAGCCTGCTAAAGGAAACCAGAGGCTGCCCTTCTGCTCATACAAAAGCAGAAGTCTCTCTCAAAGGATCAAAAGGCAGAACAACATCTCACTTGGACCGGAAGCGCTAAACACCACACACCTCTAGGGCTCAGGGTGCTTTCACGTCCCTAAGGAAAGCCCTCACGGTAAATGTCACACCAGCTACCTTCACTTGATTTCTGAAGCGTTAAAGTGAAGAACTACAAAGGCTACAACCTGCGCCACACAACCTCCCCCTCCAGGGCAGAGGATCGCGGGCCGTCCTGGGAAGCAGGAGCCTCCTTCGCTCCACCACGCGCCCACGTTGAACAGCACAAACTGCCCCAGCAGCGAGAGCGAACGGAGAAAGAGCTCGGCGCCGGAGAGGCAGCGCGGGGAGCCGCCGGCTGCCCCTCACCTTCTGGATGGAGGACTTCCCGCTGCGCCGCAGCCCCATAAGCAGGATCCGCGGCTTGG